CGGCTCTTTTTGCAGACGGCTCACGCCAATTTTTGATGACACGGTGAACCATTTCGGCCGGTATGTCGGCTATGGCTCGTCGAATGTTGGTTTTTAGGTCACGAATTGTAGCTGGATTATTGCTGTACACTTTAGATTTAACGTAAACCCAAAGAAAATAGTCTAAAGGTGTTAAATCACACGATCTTGGTAGCCAACTGATCGGTCCATTTCTCGAAATTAACGACTCACCAAACTTTCCACGCAATAATTCCATGTTCACTCGAGTAATGTGAGGTGGTGCACCGTCTTGTTGAAAATAAAGGTCGTCTGCATCAATATTATCAAATTCCGGAAAGAAATATTCGGTTAAAATCGAGTTATAGCGCTCGCCATTCACAGTAACAGGGTTTTCTTCGTCACTTTCAAAGAAGTATGGACCAATGATTCCACCGTACCATAAACCGCATCAAACTGTTATTTTTTGCTGATGCAATGGTGATTCATGGGCCACACGTGGATTTAAAATAAATATCACTACATATCTATATATATCTCACACACGGCCGTCTGATCCCAAACTAGGCAGAGCCTGTACTATGGTAACCAGACAGCTGATAAACATACTTATATTTTTTAAATACATACATATTATATATAAATTACACCCAGATACAGAACAAATGACCGTGCTCATCACATAATATTTGTCCTGGGTGGGAATCGAACCCACGACCTCTGGCTTAGCAGTCAGGGTCACTAACCACTAGACACACAGGCCCGTCCAATAAATGAAAAATAACTTTTAGTCATTCAATATTAGCTGCTTTAATTTATTCAATTATTAATACTGTTGAGTAATCAAACAATCAAGTCATGAAATATAATCAATACAATGAAAATACTGTAAGAAAATTCTTATATAAAACAAACATAACCTTGAAGCCACTAAAATTATTAGAGTTCGTTCTTGGAATCCGTCTCATTGTTATTTGACTGAGTTGAATTTACATATAGTAAATTTATGTAATAATCATGATAGATTGCTCGAATAGCTTAGCTAAAGGCTATCGAGGCCTGTTGCCAGGGAACTCTTTTTCAATGTTTTGAGGTTCCTTGGCGGCGCGACGAGTAGCAGTTTACGAAGTAAACCTGCCCTATGTTAAGCTATATCTATAGCTATTTCATTGTCACTCAGAGAATCATATTGAAATTTAATCATATTCAGTAAGTCACTGATATAACGGATGTGCATAATTTTGCTTCACGAGACTTTCATAATTTTAACATCGTATTCCCAATTATTGTAATACAGTAAAAGCTGTTTAAAACCAAATATCGTGTCTCGATTTACTTCTTTGACTACATAAGGGTCACCAGTAAATTTTAAACATCGAATCAAAGCAACCCATTGCTGTGGCAAGTAGATAATTTTTGGTTTTTCTCCGTTCGATTAGGGGATGCATGCATAGCATCGCCCTCTGACTGTAAATTTTCCACTTCAAATTTGTCTGTAAATCGTAACAAACTGCTACAAAAGAGTCAGAATGCTCGGCTCGACGTTTGTCCCTATCTTGTAAAGTCCTAACTACATTTTTATTGGCAACATTTAAAGTATGCTCATACTCTAGCTTAGTTTTGTCAGTCTCAGCTGCATTGTTTTATAAGTTACACCGTGGGCATTGGTCTTTTTTAGGTTTATTAAAATATTTATAGAACTTATTATGTATCATTATGATCTTCTTGTACTGTCGTCGTGTCTCTGTCGTGTACTGTCGAGAACTCTTTGTACTGTCTTGTCTCGGTCGCAACTATTTCATTTCTGAGCGTGTTATGACAATCTCTTTCATCCTCAGAAATAGTGCCCGTAGTGGACTTATCTATTTTTCTTAAGAGGGTCTGACACCACATGTCGCTTATAAAAGGTGTTTAGAAACATTGTGTTACATGACCGTATCTGTCTTTCGACTTTTTAAGAAAAAATAATACTCTAGAGTTTACTGACTGTTTGATGATTTCATTTCTTTGTTGTTCTGTAATAGCTTCTCGATATTTACGTGAACAATTAGGACCACAGGCCGTTATCAGGTATTTTTTCGAAATTAATTGCCTTTGCTTATTTATAAATTTCTCACCATTTTTAATTCTTTTAAATATTGCATTGTTCCAGTTTTTTTTATTCGAAAGTTTATCCTCCCTGCGTTAACTTTCTTCGGCTATTTCTTTTTTTACTCGTATTAAAATCGAATGAGGTTGTAGGTTCTTCTTCGTTAGTTTCACTTCCAGGCGCTATTACTGCTCTTTGTTCTTGAGTGGCAGACTGTTCTTTGTTGGATTCTCGAAATTATTACATGGAAAATAATCGTAACTTATGTTACGATCATTGAACTAGATTTTTTTTATTTGCTATGAAAGTATTAAATATAAATATACATAGGGTTACGATGAAATCATATTTAACAATAAATAATTATTTCCGAAAACAAATTTGTATCTTGAATTATAAAGCAACATTTACAATGGAGCTCATAAACAATGATGGTGATACTGTGTAACTAAATATACCATTTTATGAACTGCAGTTGACACGTGACTTACAATTATCAAAATAGGTACGCAAAGGAATTTAGACTCAGTGAGTGACAGAGTGAGTGCAAAGAAATCTACATTTTTTGTACAGGAAGGAATATGATTGTAACTTAAAACTGCCAAAAAGTGAGTTACAATGTTATTATATGTTACATCTTTAAAAAAAAGTTTCAATTTTTAAGTACAAATCATTAATTTCATACAGTAATTGTTAAAATTTTGTTTTCGTTTAAATTTTGTAAAAAAACAAGTTAAATCCATAATAACATTACACAACTGAAGAGTTTGTTTGGTTGAATGCGCTAATCTCAGGAACTACTGATTCGAATCGAAAAAATATTTTAGTGTTATATGGCTCATTTATCGCGGAAGGCTATAAGCTATATAACATCACGCTACGGGTAATAGGAGGCCAGAATCAATGAAAGTATTGCAAAACTCGTGGTAAATTTATTCCTTTAGAGAGACGCAGACGAATATGGGAAGTATTAGCTACTTTTAAAAGTCCTCTTCTCTTTGTTTTTTATTATGTTTCTAAAATAATTACAAATATAAGCATAAATACTCGATCTAGTTTTGGACTCCAATCTATCTCACACAACTAAACCGAAGATCTCTATTCCACGGAATAAGCCAAATTCAATATATGTTTATAAAAATAAAACGTAATAAAATTCTGTATCAGCGAGCACCACGCGACTCAAGGGGTTCAATATTTACGAGATAGCCCCTAAAAAGGGTCCTCAATACCAATAAACGGTCTACGCCTATATTTTTATAGATTTCCGTATTAAACGTTTCTTATTTCACACGTAATAGAGTCAACGGTAAAAGCTACTTTTATATAAGTACCTGTACATTGTTATGACTTTTACAATACATAAATAAAATAATACAGCAACGGAACGCATTTTGAGACTTATGATCTGACAAAAAAGAGAAGAGAAAAATATGATTTTGAGTGAATGAAATATCTTTAATAGAAACTTATTAATACATTTAAACGAGCAATTCTTGTACCTGTATATGTCATATTATATATACAATCTGAATCTCGGAAACGGCTCTCTAATTTACTATGCAGGGAGTTTCGGGGGCGATTAATCGATCTAGCTAGGTTTCATTTTTAGAAAATTTACCAAAAAAAAAATACCAAGCAAAACTCGGTCATCCAGGTACTTATTTTCTACAAAGAGAAAAAAAACCACTACTTCAAAGAGAAAGAAAACCTGAACCGTCTGGCCAGCGTGGTATAGTAGGCCAAAACCTCCTTTCTATGGAGAGGCCTATATCCTGTAGTAGATTATTAAAGACTGTTGACGATAATGATGAGTCTTCTGAAAATTTTGTTAACCAGTTGATATCCCCCTACCGGGGGAATACACCTCCAAGTACAAGGCGGATATACAGTCTCAGTTCTGTTCCCCATCTTGTATCTCGTACCCTAGCTTCTACTCCTATCCGTTTTCTTCACCCCAATTTACCTTGATCCCTTATCCCACTTGAAAACTTTCTTAAATGAAGGTTGGTGTCAGGCAAGCCACCGGTCTTAGAAGAAAACCCATGAAAATATTACACATTGCGCCAATTCCAAATAACATTGAGAAAAGAGCAAATTGTGAAATTCTAAAAAATAAAAATGATACAATAATAAGTTCGGACAAGTTTTAAATTTTAAAGTTTTAATTTCATACTGGTGGCAGTAGGAAATTTGTTGTAAAATGCTGTTAGGATATGACATGTACTTTTTTATAAATATATATATATAGCTACGATCACAGAATAAGACATTTATATTCAGGAGTAAGAGAAGCTACACTTTCTTGGCACCCAATTTTTAGATGAATCATGCTTCACAACAGCGCGGATGCATTGCATATGAACCCATATTTTATATAAACATTACAGGAAAACGCTATATTTGAATGTTTATGATTTATGGTTGCACAATAGCATACAAATTTTCGTAAGCAATTCACATATTGTGACATCGCGTTGCGAAACTTTTGAAATTATTATGCAATCATGGCCTTTTGTTCAAAATTCGTGCGCTTTCTGCAAATAAAAATGTCACTACACTCGATGTTTGTATTGCTTTAAGTCACTTGTTATTGTAATTCGAAAATATGCTAATGAAGCTTGGTTTATTACATGAAACGCTGAAACACTGACACATTTTTATATCAAAGCCGTACAAATGTTTGTAATCTAATAACAAACATCAAGTTACAATTCACTCCATTGTCAACCTTACCTTTACAGACATAAAGTTTACATTGCTTCTACAATTCAATACGTTGTAATCGTTTTTAATATCTAACTATGACTCACACTAAACACAAGGTATATAAAGCCTTTCAACGAGCATTTTGTCCCATAAATAAGTTGACAGCTCTGTGTTAATAGTGCATTCGATTTTCCAATAAAAAAAAATGCGAGTAAGGTGCCAACGTAAAGAAATGGCCGATTTCAACTATTTATTAAATCACAAGAGGGAAGAAAAATTAGAGCTTGTGAAAATATTACTCGAGTCCATAAAGGCGGATAAATGTAAACAAAACGTTAAAAGGCGTGATCATCATCATCATGGAATGTCGGGATTTGGGCGTCTTTGGAAACATGGGCATAGAGGGCTTGGACACTGTCATTCTTTTAAACATAAACATCACGGACATCATCATGGTTTTCTCCGACGCGGTGAGCACCCTCACGGTGGTCACGGCCGCCATCATCCAAGATGCCATGACCAACAATATCATCCTGAAGAAATCAAGGCCATGTGGCTAATTGATCTTACTGAAGACGACCAAAATAATGGGAACGATTGTGTGACAGAGCCATCTAACCAAACAAGTGCTTCCACATCCAATGAACAAAATGATGAATCTGTTACAAATATTAACTGTAAATTCACTCGTTTTGCTCGCCGTCACTGTGGTCGGCGTGGACGATGGATGAATAACCTTTATAAAAGGAGCAATAATGAATCAAATTCGAAGGATAATGCCACTCAAACCGATGAACCAATGGATGGAGAAAATGAAGTTGAACGTGACAATATAACTACAATGGTGGAAAATATTACCATTGAAAACTCTGAGTGAAATAATCAAAGGCTATGAAACAATAGGCTGAACGTAAGAATTTATTAACATCAAGTTTTTTGCCTGGAACATTCTTTAGATACTTGAGATGTAGGTATTTTTTTTCTTTCTACTTTGTTTTATGATTTATATAGTCTTTACTGTAGATTGTTCTTAAGTGATTGCTTTCTGTTTTATATTTTTTTATAGATAGCATGGACATTTTTTTTATTATCTAGAGACACTTTATTATAATTATTTTATGTTATTGGGTATTGGACTTTTATTATGATTATGTTTTCTTGCTATTTGAAAACCCAAGGCGTTTATATTTCAGTGTTCTAGTGGTATTAGTTTAGTTTTGGGCTTTTAACTGACATTCTAAATTACATTAGACATAATTATCATAATAATGAATTGTAAAATCGTATTACAGGAGTTCTGCAATTGTGTCGACAGTTTTTTTTCATAAAATATGAACTCAAACAAATTATACTTGACATGCATATATACCATTTCTTTGAATAGTTTTTATTTACTTTGCAGTGTATAATTATTTTTCTTTTATTTTAGCTCCAAGATAGCATTGATATTATTGAGTACGTACTAAAAATAAAACCATAGACGCCGATAAGTTGATGCATATGAAAAGCAGGTGAATAATTAATTATTTGAAAATAAGTGATCATAAAAGTGGCAAGATGTATTTAAAATAAAATACTGGAGGGATCTGGAATTTCCACAACACCGAGGAAGTATAATTTTATTGGTAACGTGAAACATGTTATATCACATGAACTTATATGAACACTTAATTAGAAAATAAAACTTTGTTTCGATCTAACCGTGTTTTTATTTTGTGTCATAATATTACTTAGGTACATTTTATTGACATGCATATTCCTATACGGGTATATACACTCATGGCTGTATGTCTGGAGATGTATGCAGAAACATATATAACTATTATGTTACCACTTACGGTAATATTTTCTTGTAACATTTAGCTGCCTGGGAAAGTGCAACAATACATAAAAAGGGAAAATATCTACCTAAAACTTACTTCGCTAATGCTTGAATACTGAATGTCAAGAGCAAATGCACTGCAATTTTATGAAGCTTGTAGTTGTAGTTTCTTTGAATTTATGTCTGAGACTGACTGTAAAGTGGAAGTCATATATAAGGGTATTTTTATGTTCATATTAAAAGATTTCGTATTTTAGTTATGTTTTTGTCTATTTTCTGGCAAATTTAAGTACGATATGATACAAGTGTATTTATTTTATACTTAAAGTTACCCAATAGACTTACATTTTATCGACATATATACACTTATGCTTGTATGTCTGGAGAAGTATGCAGAGACATATTTAACAACTACGTTTTTCCAACTACGATGGGGTCCCATTCACGTAAAAGGGGCTTTCATTGGCGCCAACTACCACTTTGTGAATTAAACGTAGAAAATTGGCAAAATATTTAAAGGAAAATGTGGAGAATGTCTGAAGACATGATATTGCTGATACAAATGACTTAGGAAATGTAAGAGATAGCTCGAAAAGGACAGGTATAGTTATACCTGACCTTTTCGTATAACTGAACTGTATATTTACAACTATATATTTGTATCAACGATATATTTCAATAACACAAACAATGTAGATGATGATAATTTTCGTTGGCACTATCATCATTAAATAATATTATAAATGTAATTTTATTTGTTTCTTACACTTTACCGCCTATCGCCTATCGTTATCCTTGACGCATAAAGGACCACTCTTGAGTCTAAATGCGGAAACCAAAGCCCACAACCAATACCAATACCAAAACCGCCTATCGCATTTCAATTATTAGTGGAAAAACAAAAAAGGACCTTCCATGTTGTTTTGTACTGGAAGCCATAGTAAGTGACTGCACAGGCTTTAGATGAGAAATGGGACTGACATTGTAGAATTTCAAACAGGTTGAGGTCGGTTCTGTATGTTCACTCCGTCCTGGGCTTAGATAGGCTACTAAGAAAACTATCATCATCATCATCAACAGCGTTTAGTGTAGGCATGACATAGGCCTCTCCTTAGGAAGGAGGTTCTGGCCTACAATACTACGCTGGCCAGACGGGTTGGTATAGAGTTACTTTCAAGTTTTACTTCTCTCGGCAGTGCGGTTATCCTGTGTAGTTTACTGCCTTAGTCGGCTCTTAAGACACCCACGGGATGAATATGGGTGGCGACACCCCGTATTCAATATTCTACATTGATAATATAAGAGAAGTATACCAAGTGTTTACTGTTTTACTAAGCCTACTTCAAATTTGAAAAAAAAAAACACCTCTTCTTTATTACAATTGTCATGCCGTGGCAGCCTTTAATTAAAACTACACTATAAAATGTAAAAATATGGTAACCTTAACATTTAAATTAGTGTAAGCCTTGTTGGTTGCACTTAATAATAAAAAAAAATTGTCTATGATTTAGACGCCTCACAAATCTGTGATATTTTTTTAAAAGATCACGTCATTATTACCAAATACTTGCTGCTTACTTACTTCATTGAATAAATATTCCATAAATATTTATTTCATTAATATAAAATCCCATCGTCTCTGTTTATAGGTACAGTTACACTTTTGGCAGTAAACAAACACATATGCACTGATAAGAGGAAGATAAGATAATAAACAGATATGAAACGCAATATTATATTGTTATAGGACACGTCTGAGCGCTTAAGCATAAAAACAAATAAATACGAAAATATCAATCACACGTGTTATGTTTATGCGGAAATCCGCAACTTTTACTCAGCCTCTATGCAGTTGAAGCATATCGAGATTGCTTTTGAAAATATTTTTGACACAACTCACACACGGCTGTCTAATCTCAAACTAGCCAGAGCCTGTGTTATATAAACCTGACTACTGATAAATATACTTATATATTGCCGGTGATATATATAATTTATATAAATTACACCCAAACAAAAAAAATGATAGTGTTCATCACATAATAGTAACTTGTTTTCGGATTGACTCAGGTTCATTAACTGCTAAACCAACTGTTCAGTCCTCAACAGGATCGTTCTCAATTACAAGATCAGCAAGGAAGAATCCCTCGCTTTTATGTCCGATTGGTGGTATAGGGTTTGCCTCTTATTCGGTAAGTGGCATTAAAATCGGCAGAATACGGCCCTTAAATCCGCCTCCACCTACCCCTCAGGTATATAACTTAACAAAAGTAAGTTGGCTATACAGTCTACGACTACGTACTTTTGTGAAGATAGAGTACATGGCATATAAAACTTCAGTTCTTAAAACAAGACATTAAACAATAATATTATTTTGGACATCTAACACACCACGCCATCTAGTTTCAAACTAAGCAGAGCTTGTACTATGAAAGCTAGATTGACTGATAGAAAACTTAAATACTTTTTTTTGTACATACAAACATATCATACATAGAAAACAACCAAACTCCAGAACAAATATTTGCAGATCATACAAACATTTGGTCCGACTCGGGAATCGAACTCGAGACGTCATATGTTTGTCTTGTTTTTAAAAACTATACAAAAGACATATGTACATAAAACTCTGAACACTGATCTCAAATTACCAGATTACTAATACGTTGAAACCTGCAATACCTAAACATAAGAATCGTATTCTTACCTTGGTAATTTCTGCTATATAACATTGATTTATTTATTATAAATGTATGCTTAATCTCTCGTATGTGTGATGTTTAATACTGACCTTATTCTAAGTATGGAGCATTGCCAAAGCAAGTGTCTCATCCTCTTAAACAGTTGTTGTCAAGCCCAAAACTGAAATTGATACAAATTCTATGCTATGTACCTAATACATAAGAGAAGCAACGTAGACATGTTCAGTTTTGCATTGACTTAAGTAACTTGCCTAATGTTAAAGTTTAGTGAAAAAAGTATAATTAGTGTACCCGTGTAACGTTGCTTTATTTTTTATTGCAGGCGGAGTTAGTGGCGGTTGAAGGAAAAGAGATTGAAACCCACTATGTGCTAGCTAGAGAAAGAATCCGTCGCTGGAACTCGACGTCCAAGTGCTATCTTCTCGTTGAAAACTTGCCCACACCACTACAGGTACGCTTAACATTACAGTAAAAACTTTTTATCCTCCGTAGGTACAAGTTTTGTAAAGTTATGAGCAAAAATGCAGGGATTTAGTTTTTATTTTTTATTTTTATGAATTCATAACGCATTTTTGTAATCAGTAGTAGTGTAAATATTACGTTTTATGTGTAAAACTTAAGGAGAATGAAGCATGGTGTGACGATTAAAACACCACAGATGTCACTTTTGTGGCACCAACCTTGTAAAAGATATAGTATGCCTAATTTCAAAATTGTTATACTGTAGATTTTGCGAAAAAAATATGGCGTTCAGGTTCTTTAGATAGTTTGGAAGTTCGAGAGAAGAGACTCTAATGTAACAATATAGTTTTTAGTCAGAATTCCAGTATATTAATGTGCACATGTCATGTTTATTAGTATAAGGGAGTGAAACTTCGGGCTAGTTTAATCATTCAGTGAAAACGAACGAAATAATTACTAAACACTGATTTTTGTGCGGCAATGGCGTCTAGTCGGACAATATATTCCGAAATATGGATCTCACACATTTTATTTATTAATTATTTATTGGCAGTTCTTTAATGTACACCGCTACAGTATATATTGTACATACATGATCGTATATGTATATATACGTTCAATTTATAGAAGTCATTTTGCTGCATGCTCTAATCACATGCTACAATATAATATATAAACTAAATTATTTTCAACCAGGCTGGTGGTATAGCCAGTGCGAGCGTGTGGTCGTCCTGCGGTTGTCGGCAGCGCTTGCTGGCGGCAGTGACGAGTGGCGGTCGCGCCGTACACTGGGCCGCTGTACCAGCACCGCCTTCAAATAACTCCGATCTGTGCCGGTTTAATTACACGTAAGTATTTTTTTACATCCTTATTAACTAATTTCAACTATCAAGAATCTAGGTTTCAATTCTATTCTGTTATTATCGGGTAAACCCGAATACGTGCTTAAATAACAGGAGCCGGAAGTATGTGGTGACCGCTAAACATCACCCTGACGGCCAGCCTCAGCCATACTACTCTGGGAGGCCCTGGAACATGTTATTTTAGGTTCTCCCCGAATCGACACCGTGCCTAATCAGGCCCGATCACAGGGGAAAACACTTCCCCCCTCAATCGCATTAAAATGTTTTTACTAAATTTATACAATATCTAATACCGAAGTGTAACAAAGTAAAATAGATATAGTTTTATATACATGCTTGTAAAGAAAAGATGCATGGTCTGCGTTAAGAATATATGTCTAGAAAGGGAGTAAACAGTATACTGACAAGTGATAGAGGAGAATGGAGAAGAACACTCAATGCTTATACATGTTTAATAGGTCCTTCGGTTTAATAGAAACATAAAAAAAAATCAACCTGAACTACAGTAACCAGCCGTCATATCTATAAATATTGCATGACGTAACATAAAACTTATGCCCACTACGATCTTAGGACTTAAAATTCAATCTATAAACTGGACGTTTATCGTTTTATTTTAGGTGTTGCATTCAGTTATCAAAAGCTTTTCAATATTCCCATGAACGCAAAATAACCCATAAAATTGGTTTTATTGCTCTTGATGTCATAAAAATGGGGTACACATTATTCGTATTCTAAATGCTATTGTTTTAAACATTTTTTGTCGACATATATTCTAAATAAATACGGCTGTTTATTTCTAATTTTGTCAGTAGTTTTGATTTTGAGCTCGCGTATATAAAATAAAGGTTTCCGTAAGAGTACTCCCAAATGCGTATGAATATTATATTGATTAACAGATTTAGTGAAAATCAATAAGCTGTTAGGACCGTGAGACCTTAAAAACAACAACCACAACAACATCAAAAAATAATTGAAAATTCCTTTAATTTTCTTTAAACTTACGGGTCGAAAAAACTTTTACGCCGACGCCATTATCGTAAAATTCAATCCTGCAGCTTTAATTATTAGGGTGAGGGTGCTATAAATTATACATAAACATTTAATTCGCGTGGCTTTCAATAATTAGGCCCTGAAAAATCCATTACAACAGTAATGGTGGCATCGTTAAAAAGGAAGTGATAAAGTTTCAGTAATTAAAGAGACAAAGAGGTCTTCCAATACAGGATGTAATAATTAAAATGAAAGAGAATAAATGGTAATAAATTAAAGATTTTAATACAAAATTAATTAACATGTATTATCAACTTTTGAGAACTGGTTTGACTATCATGATATGAGGAGGTAAAATCCTTGTTCATATGCCAGACTGTGTTGGGTCATTTTAAGCTCAAATTATGAAAAGCTTTTTTGGGTTGAAAACAGGTTGTAATTTTATTGAGTTTCTATGGAAAGTTTAAAACAATGGTCTCTCAACAAGAAAAATTGGAATAATTGAAATTGGAAGTGATATAAGCTGGCTATAATTTAGAAACATAAACAACTGCCAATGTTTCTGCTCAAACGAGCATTTTACATTTACTTCATCAGAGAAAACGCGTACAAAAAGAAGCGTAGAACATTCAATAAAGGCAGCTTGGAACTAGTTTAAATTTCTGTACCAGCTACGGAGACTTTTAATTGGTTACGACACAGAAATTGTTTTTTTCTAAGTTGCTACAGCGTTAACTATTGAAGTTCTATTTGGAGACAACGATCACTTCTTAACTGTGTAATAAAGGTATTAATTTTGAAGTGCATTGAAATTTAGACGCTATTTTCTACTGCCTTAATGCATTTTTTATTATTAACTACATACAGTTTGGAGCTTTGGGATCTCTTATTCGTATACTGCAACCTATTGGCATAACTGAATAATATTTCTTCTTAAATTATGTTCAAAGATGTTATATAGTGAGCATTAATTACTACAAACCCTGTCCGACTATTCCAATACAATGACCGATCCGCAGTGCAACAAAATGTGAACGTATGAGTGATGATATAGTAGATTTCTGGATAAACTAACTGGAAATGCCCGTCTCGCCTAAATATGATCTTGTAATAATAGTAGTAAATGTTGCTGTAAGTCAGCACATATACTTCAAAAAACACGCAGACACAGCAACATCGATCAGTCGGCCCAATCACCTTGTACAGAATCTCAAGTTTAAGCACATTTCCAGTGTAATAGAATTAGATTATTACAATAAAAACAACGTCCAAGCCAAGAGACGTTTATTCTCTGTGATTTATATGCGTTGTGGGAATCGTCTGGGCAGGGTTTTTATTTAAATGCTGACCTATTTTTTTAAGTAGCCAAAAAAAGGTTTTAGTACCTTGGAAGTGTTTTAATGAAAATCATTTTTTGACGTTTTATTTCAATATTTAACATTATGTATTTAACGCATAATCTTGTTACAATGTGTTTTTAGTTTATAATTAATTAAAAAATATATTGATTCGACGAATTAAGTTATAGATTGACATTCAAAAACATATTATGGGTAAGCAGGGTTTTGGACACTTACCATACAAAAATGTTACAGGTTTTGAACCAAATGCGTTTTAACCCAAGTTGTAGTTATTAATGTATTTTTTTCTGGAAAACAAAAGATTTTTATCTGAGTACAATACCTACATTCAAAGCATGTGGAAATAAATGAATATTTTAAAAGAATGAAATAAATAAAACCAAGCAAATGAATGAATAAAAAATGTCGTTCAATGTGTCTGTGTCGGAATGGAAACAAGATTATGACTGTTTTGATGAATGAGCCTCACGGGTCACACTGACAACGGACCAATTTTGCTATATACAGGTTTTCAGTATTATGTAAATATGAAAATTTACATAAAAATTAAGGGCCGACATGACATGTACGAGGGCCAGCATGAATTTAAATGTTATCAGGTTTTTATGTAGTTAATAAAAATACGGGAGCACAACATTATATACTTATTGATTACAACATTCGCAACATAAATATTGTTCAATGTTGTGTAAAATTTTACGTTCACTTTATTTTGAACTGAAAATGAGCACGCTTGGTGAACATATTTTGCGTGCATCGTCATATTTATAAACATTTGAATGTCCTTTTTTTTCTTTCTTCCATATAATTTTATCCCCACTTACTAAATAGTGGTTATCCCCTGTTATGTAAGTGGCGCTTATGCCTATTGCTATCAACCGGGCATATATATTCAGATACAAAATGTCTGTGTTAATACTATAAGCCTAATGGAAATATAATTATATAAAACCAATGTAGCACTAATAACCGGAGCTATTTAAGCGGAGAACCTGCATTTTTACCTGAACAGTATATATTTGATTCTCTGGTGCACTTTGTAAGTGAAAAAGATATAAATGGGGATTTTGTTCACAAATTTTCTTGCATTTTTTTTCTCTTCATTGTTTACAGTTAACACATAGGACATTACAAATATATAGACGTAACAATCGGCGGTCTTATCGCTCACGGCGATCTCTTCCAGACAACCTTGATACGGATATTAGTTATTTAAAAGTTGGGTAGTTAAGTAGTAAAATATTAACAAAAGCATTCATACACAAATAAACATCTGTTCACATTACACATAGACAAACACACAAACACACACATACATAAACAAAATTTATAAATATACATATACATATTAAATATACATATTTAATAGACATACACACAACATACATATATCCATCATATCATATCATATATCCAAAATATATACTATATATAATGAAACCAACAGTATTTAAAAGTTTAATTAAGTTTAGTTCAAAATGCTCTCAGTATGCAACGATAAAATTATAACAGTGTACTAAATAATGGTTGCCCGTTAGAACTGATCCCTATCGTATATCCAAAGTGCACGCCACCCTAGCATTATTTTGTCGACAGAATAGCAAATTGTTGGGCAACTCAAAGCGACACATTGCGTATCGAAGCGAATACCTGCAACATGACATTGATTGTTGCGTTGTCGGGCTGCAACACTGAGCTTTATTAATTGAAAACCTATCCTGATATACAGCAGTGTTTGTAACGTATACTTATATATAGATAACTATTATTTTGTACTCACGTTAGGTGTATTATATAGAGACATAGGTTACATAGGCAAAAAATCAAAAAGGCTGAGGATATCACGACATAACCTCGTTGAAATAAATAGATTTTTATGTTGTTTCGATTATAGTGTGCAAGATTCACAAGACTAATAAATTGAATAAATGTGTAAATTTAATTAATGTTTCTAAACAATAAATTTTAACCTTCGAAATATTTAGGTATAAAATGAATCATTTTATATAAAGGTATCTTCAAAGTTATTACAATAAACATCGATTCCATTGTGCATAAATAACAATGAAATTTACAAATTAGGACTCGCCATAAAATAAGTCCTAGAGTGTTGCAAGCTCAAGATTTGTAATAGTGAACAATTACTAAGTCTGGGTTTATAATTTGCATCCGTTTCCAGAAACAAATAACAACAAAAAAGTACACAAATATTCTATCCGTCAATTTAGTTTTCATAGTAGTAGCTCTGCCGATGCATCCTGTTGTAAAATGTAATACCAGGTAATAAACCCCTTAATAACCGGGCGATGATAATTTTTACTTTAGTATCAAATAAAATAATAATTTTATTGTAATCATTTGGTACAGATTTAGTTCCTAACTTTATTCAATAATATGGAAATACACTTTTAGAAATCTCAAAAAATATATAGCCATAGTGAGGTACTTTATATATTTTGCCACGCAAAACGATTGTTACCAAAAAACCAGGAAGAAATTCAAGGCAGCGGTTGATCAGATAAAAAAGCGGCAATAATCCAACTCGGCCGAGGTCGGGTGATGTATTATACCCCAGAGTGGCGCGCCCGCTTCAAGAGTTATATCTGTTTTATTAAAGAACGTGCCTATGTGTGGGTGAGCTTGTTTATTTCACATTAGTTAATTATGGAAATATATTTTAACTACCTACTAGTGTATTAGAAAAATATTGCAGTAGTATTCGAGATATTTTAATACATGAATTTTTGTATAAAATGAAGATATAGTTCAGGAGTACCTCACATCTATGGAGTACCTCTCTATAAGTGAAGACATTTTTTTTTGTATACATATTTTAGGAAACAATGTATAAAATAGGCGCAGAAAGCTAAAAGTTTTAAGCAATATTCTTGTCAGAAATTTTGAAATTACATGGAAACGGCTGCATACGTACGTTAAATTCCAATAGTTGAAGTTATAGAGCTCAAGTTATAAAGGACAATAAAATAATGTTAAGTGACTACCGTATTTATCGGAGCTCGATTGTCACTACAAACAAGAAGAATCCATTAAAAATGATTGTTTTTTTTTCATTTTAGTATTGATTAAATCCTCTTGATCTTCGAAAATCTGTACCATATGGTTCAAGTAGAAAGTACGAGTATAAAACTTCTAGTTCTAAGAAAAAATCTGTAACCGTTAACAAATGAAAGTATCATGTAATAGAACGTAAAGTCTTATTTAATTTGACTAAACTTTAGTAATCGTATTAATTTACGAAATATTATATTTAAATGTACTAAGCAAGCTGATTTTAATTTCTAACTATTACACGACTCATTAGTTATAAGAAAATTTAGTTTCAAACGTAATTGGCTTTTGTGCTAATGCAGCCAACTGTCTTGAAATGTAATAGTCGGACTAAATTAACTTTGAATCTTAGTTAAGGCTAATTGTGATTGGATCGTGAGCCTGAGCAATACCTAGAATTGCAAATAATGGATATGTGTAACAGAATAGGACTTTAGGTAGGTACAAATTCTTAATATTAATTAATTTATTTTTAATTTTTATTTCTAGTAAACTCGTATATTATTAAATACTACTACTCTTAAATTGTATTGCTAAAACTTTTTCAAACTACTTTTATTCTTTTCAAATTCTCTATGATATAAAAGGACGATATGATTTCAATGTAAGCACTTTTCACGGGTACATAAACGACGGACCTATGAGAAGAGAGAGAGAGAAGATGAAGAAAATACAACTGAATGTAAATCTCCTCCTTTTTTTGGATGACATAAGGGGAAAACAAGGTTCACCGGATGGTAAGTGACCACTGTCGCCCATGTAACTCAAGAGTCATAAATGCATTGCCGCAATTTCAGTTCCTCCTCTCAGAATCAGGGAAAAGAGGAGGGGTTACATAGGGCTCGCTTGGTGAAAAGCAATGTGAGGACATCAGTTTTCTGTTAAGCCGTGATATAACTTTGATCGAGTATGGTCCATATGTGACGAAGTATGACTCTCCAACGAGAAAAAAAATAACTGAATATTAAATCCGGCAAAAAATGACAATGAATTGTGAGTAACTTCAACAAATAAGGTGAAATTGAACCAGTATAGTTGGGAAATACAATGTACAACTATTATGTTAAGAAGTACTAGAAAGATTAAAAGAAATAGAAAGAAATCCAGAAGTATTTAAATCAAAAGAAAATCCAGTTACTGACCAAAAATCACAAAAGAATAGTTTTGTTATTATGCCAATGATTGGAATTAAAATATTTGTTACTAGCTGAGACCCGCGGTGTTACCCGCGTTTGTTGTTATAACCGCGGGCAACGCCGCGGGGCGAAGCTAGTCTAAAAAAAGTAGCCTAAGTTACTCGTTATGTCATCAGCTATCTGCCAGTGAAAGTCTCGTCTAAATCGGTCCAGCCGTTCCAGAGATTACCCGGAACAAACAGACAGACAGACAAAAATTTTAAAAAATGTTATTTTGGCACATGTACCGTGTAAACATACATATGCATTTAGTAAAAAGCGGTTATTTTAATATTACAAACAGACACTCCAATTTTATTTATTTGTATAGATTAAAAACTATTTGTCTCTAGATCAATACAAAGTACCTGTATACGAGCCGACAAAGGGCTGGAAGTTGGAAATTAATTTAAGTTAACCGGACGGCCTTCGTAACCCGACCGGTAATAGCGTTAGTTCCGATGACTTGAGAACATTGAATAATATCACCTTGTTGTTGCCAACAAGATTGTTTTAGTTTGACAATATGTGGGACTTGTAAATTCAAGACGGCATCACCTATATTTATTCAAGTAGCTTCCTTTTTCATTTAAGAGTTATAGTTTTTTCTTTTGATATTTTTATTCATTTATTTTCATTTTGATATCCGTGTGGTAATGGATTAAGAACACAGAATGTCATCACCCCTATTCATCCAGTGGGTGTCGTAAGAGCCAATTAAGGGAGCAATCTACGCATCTACAAACAGATGGAAAACTTGATACAAACCGTCCATGTCACAACCGTGCTATGCTACGCTGCCCAGACGGGTTGACAAAGGAATACCAACCTGTCTGGGCAGCGTAGCACAGCAGGATAAAACCTCCTTTATAAGGTGCGGCCTATGGCCAGCAGTGGATTATTATAGGTTGTTGATGTCATGTGTGATGTGATTTTTTTTAGGCATAGGCGGCATATAATATGTTTTCTATTGTATAATATGTATGTATTTACAAATATATATATATATATTTCAGTGTTTCATTCTGTTATAAACTATTTCGGTTATAAAGTTGTGATATTCAAGAGAGTTGACCTGCCTGACGATGAGCCTGACGGTAGACGCACGGAAGTTGTATTTATACAAATCGGTGCAAGAACTTTCAGTGCGCAATTCTGTGTGATATGACTTCGTTAGATGGCATTCCATTCAGTTTTCGTGGTATGTGGATGTCGGCACAAATTTTCCATTTCATTTCATCTTGTTGCCTTACTAGTAAATAGTTTCTCTTAAAAGAACCAGAAAGACTTAAAATAAATATATAATACATCTAGGACAGGTAACATTTTATTTATTTCAAGATCAGTATTTACGGTTCATGAAATATGAAAATAAAATTACAATTTTATTTATTTCCTAACACATGTTTACCCACAATTCTAGTCATATTCATACACAAAACAGAAAATACTTTGAGAACCGTTAAACGTGGCCTGGATAATGTTTAAACGTACCAATACCTTTATACATTATCCAGGCAACGTTAAAGAACATTAGCAACAAATGAATAAACATGTATGAAACTTTACGTGCGGAAAACGCGATAAAGCGATGAAAAGAAAAGCTTACTTAATCTCATATCATAAAATAAATGGAATATTACTTTAGATGAAGCTGTTATATAAAATAAAAGAATACCGTCATATTTGCTAATGTTATCGAAGTTACACTATAGATTGTGACGAAATAAAAACTATAACATATACCAGTTAAATTGCAATAAAAGTTTTCATTGATAAAAGCGATCAGAAATATATATTTGTGTAATATAGGTACGTCTTTAAAAACGGCAATATCTTACTTTGTAATGGAGATTATTAGTGAATAAATTCGGTCATTCCTCGACTATTATATAATAATAAAAATAAACCTAACACACGGCAGTCCGATCACAAATTAGGCAGAGCCTGTACTATGATAAACAGACTGCTCATAAACATACTTATATATTTCTAAATACATACATATTATAGTATTATACCTACGGCTACAGACCTACGGATTAGCAGTCAGGGTCACTAACCACTAGACCAACAGGTCCGTCAAACTTTTCACATACTTCTATAAATATAATTGCATCTCAAAACATAAAATATTTAACGACACAGAAATCATAATGTGAAATTTAAATAATAAAATTTTAGTTTAAAACAATATCCCTTTACTCTGACAAGGTATTTCTGTACACATACTCGTATACTAATTATAAAGCTTCCTCATTATAGCAAGTGCCAAACCTAAGTGGATTAGATAATTTTAAAGCTTATTTCCGTTGGGTTTTGAGGTAAATATCCTGCCTGCTGCATGGAACTAAAATTATGTATAAAGTGCCTGTGATAACTTAATCACATGTTTTAGAAACAATTCAAATCAAGAAATGAAATGAAATTAATGAAAAGCATTAAATTTTATTTTTTTGTAATTACTGTGTACTATATTTTATACCGTGGGAGATGCTATGTTTTGGTACAAAAAGCCAGGCTCTGCTGGAGGATACCACGGCCTTACAGATGCTAAGCTATTCTTTCGTTTCAAGTTTTAGTTTCGCTTTCCTTTCGTAGAGAGAACTGTACTATGGCGACCTGAAATCTGATAAACATAGTTATACATATATTTCTAAATACATAAATTACACCCAGACAAAAAATAATGCTTAAAACACAACTATTTGTTCTTAGTAGGTATGGGACCCACGACCTCTTCCTCAAAAGTCAGAATCACTTACGAATCACCAAAAGACTAGTTAAACTTGTATTTAAACTATCCCACTAATGCCGATTAATGTAGTAAATCACGAAAGGTTGTCATTTATTACTTACTTTACAATATCTCTTCACACATACACGTGTATGGAAATAAGCACTGTTAAGCACATGAATATAAAACTTGTCTATCACGAGTAAGATTTCTCAAGAGATATATGAGAAGTTTTCAGTGTCATAATGCGACACATTTACTATGATATATGGCTGACGATTATCTTCATTTATCATTTCTTATGAAGAAACTTTTCTCTCTAACAGTATTGAAAGATACAAAACTTTTCATATGCTTCAGTAGAATAAATCTACCTTGTAATTAAAAAGACTTTGACATTTAAGTAGAAACTAGTGAGGTTATCGTGGACCAACCCTTTTTTCTAATTCTGGGGGAGGGGTGGGGTAAAAGGACGGCAACGCAACTTTAAATTCCTGAGTTGCAGGTGTCCATGGGTAGCGCAGACGACTCGGGCGCCGGAGGTTGTTGTTATCTAAATTTAAGGAAAACTAACAGCAGAATTTAGGTTTAAAGTCTCTGTCAATCTGGCGCCGGAGGTCGCAGTACAACCTCCGTCCTCCGTAAGCGCAGGC